AATGAAGATTTGTTGCATCATGTGGAGGAGAATGAATAGCCTATTTTCTTCTGGTAGATTGATTCAATTTCTATACTAGTGTACACAATGCCGTGGAAAATTGTATATATTAACAATTTAACAGCTTTTGCAACAAGAACATGATCTCATTCGAAGCAAATATGATCGAATAAAGTTTAGTGATCGTAATGCTGTAATTTAATAAAAGGCTGGGAAATGATTCTTTACATTGCTATTTGTGAGACATCTAGTGGTGGAGAGGATGAGTTAACAATCGCAGCTGCTCTGAATGGCACCAGCATCATCTCCCTCTGGTTCAGTGGCGCCTCCTTAGCGCTCCCTCTACGTCGATAGGGATAAATTAGTCCCACGAGTCTCATTGACTTCGTAGCTCTAGATTAGACCGCTAGAGTGCAGTAGCGTGCAGTCTCTCTGTACCACAGCATCCCACGGTTCGCGCATCGTGTTCTGTAGTGCTGAATCAGGGTTCCTTGTGGTAACTATCATGTGGAGGTCTAAGGTTCGTGTCTTTGTCTTGGAAAATTCCTTGTAATTCTGGGTGCAAAATATTGAACACTTGAGTACCATTGTAATAAGGCAATAAATTCAAATTATTAAATTAATTATTCGGTTTTGTCCATCTAATCACAATTATATTTAAAATTTACAAATAAGATAATTAAAATATCATTTTATGTTCCACATCGAATAATCGATTATTTTAATTATCTTATTTGTAAATTTTAAATATAATTGTGATTAGATGGACAAAACCGAATAATTAATTTAATATTTGATTCACAATATGACGCAATTATACTATCTTATGAAATTCAAATTATTTGACTTGTCGCTGTTTATAGATTAAAATATATCCATTGGACATTAGTAAAGGAAATCAAAGCTGTGTCTCATTTTTTTTACGTTTTTAAAGTTGAGACAAATCTTATCCGAGTGTCTCTTGATTTAACATATCGTCATTTCTCATTTGCAGTAAAATAACATCTACAGTTTATGCAGTAGATTTAGAAGCAAATAATTTATAATTCTACCTTTAATATTAGAATGGAGTACTGGTGACTGCTGCCAACAACTATGTTAGATCAACTGGGCGATTGAATTAATGCAATGAATATCAAAAGGTTTTATCTTTGGCAGCTAAAACGACCACACCAGCAGTCTCAGTGTGACGCCTAATATTTGCAATTTAGTGTGTTGTAAGCCTACTTTATCTTTACCTAGTTTTGCATACTTAATTACTGGGACATATGCACTTTTTGAAAAAAAATACAAAGTTTGGGGGACTTTATAAGTACGTACAGGCCTTTTCTTCACAAAATATTATTTAGTAGCTGAAATTAATGAAAATGTGATGGCCGGGGAATGTAGCTCTTGTAGGAAAGACAAGGAATAAATGTATTTTAGTCTTGAAACCTGAAGCGAACCGAATGAATGTGGAAATAGGCTTGAATAGGAAGACTTCCATTAAAATTATTTTAATTAAAAATGTTGTGTGCGGGTGCGAATTAGATTGAACTGACTTATAATCTTGCTATCTGTTGTGAATTCGATAATAAATCTTAAGGTCCTACGGAAAGTGGATACCTTCTTGCTTACCTGAGCGATTATTATCTTTATAATAACTATACCAATTTGTAAGTTTCAACTCAAAGGTGATCGCAGTCATGATGTTAACATTTTGGAAGCAGAATTAGAGTTTAAGATTCAAGCTATCAAAGGTGAATCTCGTAATAAGACTGGTCTCAGTCTGAGAACTGATATATGCGCAAATCTTCTTGAGGCACTGAGTCCTGTCGTATATGTTTGATGTTAACGTAATTAAAATATGTTAGACCTATTATTATTGATTATTTATTAATTGTTTAATAGCAGTTTAATTTATACCTACTAAATCGCGCAATATAAAAACCCGCCTGCGGTCTTGTTTTAAACTCTTGAACGACTTTGATTTGTGCTTTACTGTACCCAGTTCAAATCTTGATCTGACAAATCAGGATTTTCTAGGCGCATGTTCCGGGGTATATACATAATAATCTTTACGTTTTATTCAACGCTGTTCTATCTCCACTGCCTGAATATACATACCTATGTGTTTGCTTAATCTTTCTGTTTCTGTTTCGTAAATTTCCTTCTACTAGTCGAAGGCATGTCTATGAATATATAGCTATGTGTTTGTCATTGCTAATTGCCCCAACTCATTTATTAATCTTCAATATTGAACGTTTTATTAGTACTTTACTTTTCGTTCAGTTTAATATCACCCGAATTTTAAAAAAAAAATGATTTCTCTTATGTTTAACAGACAGAAACGCCTGCTATTTGCAGCTAATTATCCTTGGATTAAAGACAAGACGAGTTAAATATTAAGGAAATAAGACGAAACTATTGTTTCCACAAGCTGTTTCCGGAACAGAGTAGTATGTCAAGGTGGCTAAAACATTTTAGTAAACAACAACAAAACAAAAGTAAAGACAGCAGAGTTTAATTTTTGTAGTAAAAGCATTGTTTTATTACCAAGCAGATATTGGATCATGACCCAACCAATCAGTATGGTAAATTAAACAGTGCTGCATTGGGTTATATTTCTCACGGATAGATCTATTATACTTTTAATCACTCATTATTCAATCTCTGCTTAATTCTCATCCACTATAAATATCTTTCGCAATTGATACAACATCATTAAATTGCAAGATAAATGTTACAGAATGAAAACGCTTCGTTACGTAATTTTGCTTCAGTCTAGTTATAAAATACGTGCATTTTGTTATTAACGCGACTGTACCTTTTCCGACCAAATGCTATATCCTACCTGTCTTTCAACAAACTCTCGATGACGGAAGAACAATTGAACCAACCTGTCAACATGGAAATGTGCATGTGAAAACTTTTTGTGTTGCTTTTTTATTATTTTTATGTCGTAACAGTAATGTATCTAGACATATATACATTCCCTCAGTTGCATATATGCGTATGAACCTTCCTAAGCCCAGTTGATCGCTTGCCTAACATTTAGAGCATCAGAACATAAACTAAACAATGGACTGCAGTGGCAGGTGGTTTTGTTGGCTGGAATAAAGGAGTAAACAAAATGTACTGCAGAAAAAATCCCCTGCCACTTTTTTGTGATAAAATAAAAATATAATGAAAAAGATGAACTTTTGTACCATTCATGCGGTGAAACCTGGAGTAGGGGTAAAGCAAACTCTAATACAACTGCACATTCCCCTCCTGCCTCGTACACGCTGGTATTTCAAATGCATGCAGCCGTGACAGGAAACAACCACCCATTGATGTGACTGTAAATACACACAATGCAACTAATTTTGAAATGATCAGATTGGTTTAAAAGATAAATAATGATTAATAATTGGCTAGCCAACCCATTTATTTGTATATTATCAATCCAGGTTTATGAGCAGAAGTATTCAAATTCCACACGATTTGGAAAAATGTTTATTTTAAAGTTTATTTTATAAAAGTGATTTTACTCAGTCACCTGTGGTAATAAGACCTATATGTGAATTGATTTACCAGTATTCTATTACGTATTAATGAAAGTGTCTGTGTTGCACCTGACTTTCGTTACAAGCCTTATTTTACTTCGCTGAAAATTATTATTTAAAAAAATATTTTGAGTGTTCATTCCGGTTAACAATTATTTGTTAATTACCACCGTGGCGCTAGAAAGTAAATGTTTTTTATTAAATGGTTGAAAAGTAATAAAACTTCAAATTTCTCTGAGGTATGTTTACATTTATTGCTAGATAGAGTGAAAGGAAAATTGGGGGTTAGAGTAAGACACTACATCTGTTACGGAAATAGAGATGGTAGATAAATTTAAGCTCTAAATGTTTCCAGGCATTGTTCACTTGCCCTTATGGTAAAGAACAGCAACGGAGAACGTGTGTTTGTGCAGTGGAAATAATATAATAAATACCTGCCTCAAAGGTATTTTAATAATTGGTTTGTGCTTAAAAGAAAACAGCATCTGATTTGCAAATACCAGTCTCATTTAACTCTAAGAATCAAATGGAATCAGTAACAAACACTACTAAATGCCAAGACATTGAATTCTAAAATATGTGGGACCTTAACGCATAGTTAATGCAGTGCATTAAGATTTAGAAATTTCCTATGTTTATAATACAATTTTAACTTTGCATTGCGCTGTAATATCATAAAATAATATAGATGACTACTTTTAACACTTTGCTATTTTATAGTGAATTTACTTCCTTCATATAGGCATATAATATTTAATTACCATATTATATTTTCTTATATGATTTGTACTTATTTGAATCAAGGAAAACTTATATTATACTAGCATACTATAAACTTAAAAATATATGTTTTATAAGGTTTTTTTCCCCACGCTTAAGAACTAAGACACAAAGACGTAACGGAGAGTGGATGTGAAGTTCCACGATTTCTTAACATTAACACTAGCTGACACTGAGTAGTCAGATTCGTCATCAAGTCGATTTCTTCCCGAAGAAAGAGCACGTGTGGCTAATGTCATAGGAATCAGGGTGGACGCAGAACCGATATGGATATGTGGAGGCTAAGTGGGCACATTCTTTAATAAAAAATCTAACTTCAACCATCGTGCCTGCAGTTAGTCATTCTACCGACTGAGCTGTTCCGGGTTGTGTTAATATAAAAACATTATTTTGTAAATCTTGGAAATATTTTCTGAGTGTTTAGTACATCAACTCTTTAATTTCTGTGTTTGTTTTAATACCAATTATTATAAAAGTCATATCAAGCCTCGGCGCTATAGACTTCAATACTTTTAGCTTGTTAGATGTTATATAGTGCATGAAGATATCGACGCATGAACTTGTAGCAAAATTACTTAGGAACGTGTGGAAGGTAGGATGGGTAGATGAACCAATCTATACTGAAATGCTCAATAGAATATTAAGTGCAACAGAAACCAAGATCCATCCTAAGTTCTACGATTTTCTTAGCAGCAAGCTTTGGATGTCAGCGCAACTCAGCTCGGAGTCTGAATCGAAAATTGCGATACTGGGAAAGTGTTGCAAGGAGAAGCAAACCCACTAGGAGCCAGGACGCACTGTGGAAAATGTGACATACTGGAGAGAGAAGAAGGATTAACCTGCAAGAGAGATCGGAGAGGGGTGTCTGCTGGTGGGTGGAGGCGACGTCGTCTTGTAAGACGTCGGGCGTCGTCGCAACCTCCACATCAGTGCTTCACCCTTCCCCTCCACATGCCGGGCTGTCCGTGTCACCCTACACACAGAGAGATTGCTGTCGTCTCTAGAATATAATCCAACAGAAACCCCACGAGATGGGCTTGTGTGTGACTGCCTAAACAAACGAATATCCTGAGATCATTTTGTCTGAGTGTCATCCAAATCTTGGTCGGACTAAAATCCTAACAATTCCTGTCAAATACAAAAGGACAAATTCCTTCTTGAGAAGCTACTAGTCACTCAGATTGCCAAGAAATTCCCTGCGTTTCATGAAATGCAAATGTAGTCTATATTAAGCCTATGTTTTCACAAGACCTCGCCTCTGTACTCTATCTTGAGCCAGATTAATCCATATATAGGAATGCATTTTCGTTATGAAGCTAATAGAATAAATGTTTTCTGTCTCTCAGGTTTCCTTTATTTTTTACATTACATGCAACTAAATAAATATTAAATATTTGCTCAGTTAATAGCTTATTAACAAGATCCTTTTATTGAAAGATGTGTTTAATTTTCTCGATACAAGTTTGCTGCTGTTGAAAATGATTCCGATTTGTGAAGAAGGTTCAGCTGTGTATGGAGTGCGTTACTATTGCTATTGCTTGTTCGTTCAGTGCATTTGTTAAAACTTACCTCCACACCTTATCTCACAGTACCTTGGAGAGGAATTAGGCATATAAGCCAGTTATATTAAACCTTATATAAATCCTAATTTTATAAAAATGCATGCAATTTCGAAATAAGACTGACAAAGAACAATAAGACTGTTTCAATATTTTTCGTCTTTATTTAGAGTAGGCGTGTATAATCAAGTCTGATTCCCTAATTGAATGTCTGTTAATGGCATTATATACTAAATTAAACCTACTTTGTTGGAACACACAGTAATTATTTTGTGGTTCGTCATTACCTGTCTTTCTCAAGGGAAGTAAGTTAAGAAAATGTTAAATGTAAGTGTGAGTTAATTGATAAGTCCAGCAACCATGTTTAGAGGGTGATTTACATGCATGAAAAGTATATATTTCATTCTTTAATATTCATTCATGCATGCATATATACACATACATACATACATGCATGCACAAATGCAACTTACATACACAACACACACATACATATGCGTATATGTAAAGAGGGCGTACATACACAAGGCCGAAAGCCGCTGTTAAACAGTGAGCACACCACCTTCCAATTCGGTAGGTGGCTTGTTCAAATTTCGGTTGGAAAATGGTTTGTCTTGGCTGAAGTATTTGTGCTTTCCCCTAGTCCTTGGAGACACATGCCTTGATATTTAAAGTTAATACTAATTCAGATAGACACACATAGATTAATAAGGTCAGTTTTAAGCTGTGTTAACTACGCTCTCATATTCAAGTGCACTCTACTAAGCGTAGCGTCAACCAATTAAAACAGAAGTTTACATGCCGTAATAAAAAATACAATTGTAGCATTAGAAGCCCAAAATACGTACCTTTTTACCCCGATATTCATTAGAGTCTCGCAGTCATGTACAGTAATTAGGCCTCTACAGGGGAGACTGTGTTCCAACTGGGTGTACTCCCTAGTACCCTGAAGACGCTGATGGTGTCTCCGGACAACAGTGTCGAGCTGTGTGTAAGCGGCAGTGTGTGGTGATTGATTGTACAAGCTCGTCACACCACAGCCAAGGCGCGGGCAGGCTGGAGCGAAGCTTCAGACATACACATAATTGTATTACTTCGCTATTAAAACAATGGAACCGCAACGTGAACAGAAAAGTGGGTCTATTGCTACTTCACATTATACAGTTACAGTAAAAATAGAGCAGTTTTATTCTTCCGGATTTATGAGTTTTCCTGTTACATCAACGATTGTGCACGCTAAAAAATATCGCAATTCTATGTTTTTCTTTTGTTTTTTGTTTACATCTTGAATGTCGTTTCCTTTCGCAATTTTACATCCCAAAGGCGTTTTTTAAGTATCGATTGGAGAAAACAAACCACCATCACAGCTAATTACAGTATTCTTGATCCATAGACAAATAAAACAGAAAATATGATACAATAAATATGTCTAAAATAATTTCGCTTCTTTACAAGCAACTGACATGCATTTTTGATGACAATCTACAGCCTACTTGCTAAGCGATGTTTTGGTACAGTTCGTTCCTTCACATTGTTCGGTGTCTTACGTTCATCAAGCACCTCACGCACATTATGAGTCATTTTATAATTTGTTGAGATAATTTTTAAAGAAAATATTGGTTTATAGATATATTTATTGAACTTCCCGCAATATTACAATTGACAAATTGTTATCCTTTATGGAGTTCATCTCAAAGCAGCTTACAAGGCTGGCAGAAGTAAAGCCCTTGCTAGCTGTAGCTAGCTGAGCAAACAGACATCGCATATGCATAATCCCCGGTTTTGTCTGGACGAGAACACGAATGTAATCTTACGGCATTCACGGGCAAGAATCGGGCAGTGGCGGGCACGGTAGAGACCTGCTCTGCGCAGGTTGTGCAAATAACCTCAGCGCTCTCTGATTTAGAAAGCACATTGCTCTTTATTAGATAAGATATTCTCACCGCTGTGAAAATGTATTGCCTATGTCTTATTTCCTCAGAAATAGTCACTTTAGACATTAGTCTCAGTTTTCAATTACAATTTGCTATCTAGAAAATAAAGACAAATTATTTTACGGTGGTACATGAAGCAAACGTAGGCTATGGGGGAAATATTTTGGTTCCGAAAGAATGTCAAACTAAGATTGTATTCATTATTCGCCCAAATTAATGTGAGTATTATTGTATTGTTGTTATTTTTGGTTAAAGGTAAAATTCCGTTTGCAGTCCTCCATCGTCACCTATCCTGAGTAATTTATGTCCAAGCCCATGACATGTTACTCTTTATAGTGAGGAATTGTTAGATCCTAGGTAAATTCACAGGCTAGACGATCTCTCCTTTTTGGCGGTCTGCCACTGCTTATTTAACATATGCAAAACTGTTCTTCAACTCTGTGGGTGCAGCGTTATAAGAATCGCCCAATTCTATCTGCCAAATATTTGCACTTGTTAAACATTTAGAACGGCAATTTGAGTTCGAAACTATAGTAGCTGTATTTAATACTGTAATATGATATAATATAAAACCATAGGTCTATATCACCTGTTCTAATAAATGTCCATTATAAAAAATTAATTCAGATTTATTTCTAAGCTAACTTAAAAAACGAATTTCTGAAAACGCCGGGTCATCCGTCTGGTAGTTAATGGAGATCTAACTGCTGGATCACTTTTATTAAAACTGGGTATGACAAGATTATACTAACTTTGTCAACAAGCCTTTCTTTATATTAGCATAATTCACTTTTACGAACATTTTACTTAAAGACCTAAATGAATGTCCTATGTATGCTATTAAACCTTTCCAGTCTTGAAGACAGACACTGATAAAGCTTTAAACAGCCTATGGGACTTATGTTACTAATACGATTATTACCATGTTAAATTTCATGAACTTTAATTACTTTTAATTGATAGTCGACTGGAGTACTCAATGAACTATGTATATCCTTGTGAATCCTTATACAGATTTTAATGAAGACAGACAAAACACAGCTTTTAAAGTAAAAACTATTATGTGTAAGTCTAATTTAGTTTAATTTATTTTAAGGTGAACATTTATCAAAGGAGGTCTTCGTTGTGAGCCCTTTGACAAGTTTACGGCACTTATATTGTGTAAATCTTACCGTGTTTGAAATTAATTTGCTTTAATAACCAGACAACAAATATATGTTTTGAAAACAATACACAAATGGAACACACCAAATTATTGTCACCCCAACTTTGAATTTTTCTTTTCTTCTTACCGAAGGAGTTAAATTTAAGTGAGTTTTATTATTATTTGCGTAGCCTATACATAAGCCTATAAGCCTACTTAGTTTTGTACTTTTCGGAATTACAAACAACATTCTTTTCGGTGGTTTGTTTGACAATGCATTTTTTGGCCTCAAGTATCTGTTTAACATAATTTAAAATATTTATCTGAAGTGGAAATATATCCTAAATAAATGACAACGAAAACACGTTGGAGATTTCCAAAAGTTGGATAGAACTATAGACAGAGTACTTTCCATCTTGACTGGCCCATTCGTTCAGACCTCCCCTCTTGCCATCCTATATGAACCCTGTTATTTCCAGCATTGTCATTTCAGCTCCTAGAAACATCGGCATCTACCGACCAGTCCACACGACGCCAGAGTAAATCATCATCGAGTGTTTAAAGTTTGATGAAATATTTTAGAATTGAATCTTAAGCGCCATGTTTGTACTCCTTCGCTGATTCGCGCCTCCTAAGAGTAAGACAGGAGCTCCTGTCTTACAGCTCTGCAGTTACTAAGCCAGCTGCTTCCTTTTCGTACGCCACTGGTAGTTTTAAATAGCTACCTCTTTTGAGGCAATCCGTTGCTCTAAGCAGTTTACAACAACTCCTTTGCACGTGATTGTCTACCTATGGTGTCTTAAACACCCTTCCTTTACGTATGCTAGCGGTGCGCCGTGGTTCATTATCCCTACAGCCTTATTCACGTATACTTTCTCATTATCTCCATTATACCTCGCCACGTCCATCTATGCCTTCGTTCCACCCTCTTCTTGTCACAGGCTTATCTTCTTCGTTCGCTATTGGTGTGACAGTTTTTAATCTTGAGTCCCCCCTTTGTTGATATAACTCTCCTTTTTACTGGCTTTCTTATCTGTTACAATAACGCAAGTTCTTCTAGAGTAGACAGGAGTGCTCATTATTTGACTTTAGACACGGAGGGGCCGATGCTTTGGCTGGCAACTTCTCTTTTTCCAAGAAGTATCTGCAGGAACTTGGCAATGAATATTGCAGTTTAGTTTTGCTTAAATGTGAGATATCCATCCTACTAATTGTAGGATGACGTTGGTACATTCTTTGCCCTACTGGAAAGCGCCATTTTGTAGCATGGCACAATACACAGCACTGCTGTATGTACTTTACGCTAGAGTAAAGAAGTCCTTGTCACGTATGAGGCCTGAAAAGTCACTTGCTGCACTACTAGCACTAAAAAAGTGTTTGTTTTGATTTGTTTTAAAGTTTACTAATAACGCTTTAGAACGCTGGTAATTATTAAATGGTTACAACACAAATAAATCAATAACGATACTACGGACAGCGGAAAGCTATAAAGACATGTGAGAAATATTTTTGTATTAAAGATCATTGTTATAAACTCAGGAATAGGGGTTGTATTACATCATTTGCCAACAAGGCCGCCTACGTCATAGGGACTTGAGCAATACAAAGTGAACACTATATATTCTCTCCTGTGTTCTAGGCCATCGATGGTTAGACTATAGTTATAGTTTCGATAGCATCGACTATGTACAATCCTTGAAATATAGAACGTTTCTGAATAAATGATGCGTGAGGACCCACTTATGGTCCTCTCTGTTAGCAGATCTTAACATATTAGACTCACATTTTGGAATTATGTAAAGGCAAAATGTGTTCCTCCAAAGTGATGTCACAAAACAACACCTTAAAAGAAAGTTGTTGGAAGCTGCTGTTGCAA